TCAAAAGAGCCATCAGTGTTCAGCTTGACCCAAGGGGAGTCGGGTCGAAGCCAAATGACAGCTCTGGGTCGAAAAGGCCGAACAGACGCAGGGGGAGCTACCAAGTAGCGGTGTGGTGACGTGCAGCCTGTCCAGTCTCTGGCAGTGAACCTGCCCAAAGATGTGAGGAGTGAAAGATGTCTCTGTACCTGCAAAACAATGTGAGAAAGCAAAAAAGTAATATCCCTATGCTTCGCACTATTCCTTTCCGTCCAGGTGAACCAAAGGATCAGACAAGGAATGAGGAAGCCCACGTGTCTAAAGTGTGTGCTCTGTGAGAAAAAACTCAGGAGCTCAAATAAACTGTCTGTGGTGGGTAGGGATATATGAGTCCAAGTGGCAAAGTGCTCCCACACTCTCCTCACAATCTCACTCTCTAGAAAAAGGTGGGTAAAGGTCTTGGTCTCATGACGCCCGGTCTCAGAACAACACACACACCAGGAGGGAAAGGAGATCCCCCTCGCATGTAAAACAGTGTCCACGGGTATCCGGCGCAAGAGGAGGCGCCAAAGGAAAACCGAAATAGTAAGGGTGAAGAGATCGCTCCAGATGGCTCCGAAGAGAAGATTAGGCCGATCTCTTAGCCTGATCTGCTCCCAAGCCGAGGTAGTAGAAAACACACCTCATGATGTAAGTCTCCACCTCATGCCATCCGAACCGTCCCCCGAGATGGGGATCTGCTGGATCTGATCTAATAACTGCTCGCTAAAACCCGCCCCGGAGCCGCTCTCTATCAAGCTTCCCCCTATCCCACGACCCATCCATCCACAGGTCGCTCACAAGCAGGTAAGGGAAATGCGACACCTGCCTATCGCTAGACAACGGCCTATCACCTAACCACCACTCATCCCAAAAACTAACATCACCCTCACCCAAAACCCAAAAGATGTGATCCTGGGAGCGCCTACCGAACCTAGTGAGGCGCCGCCACTGTCTGCTATCATGACTAACCGCCGTCACCCAACAAGGTACGTCTTCCCCTCCCAGAAACGTCCTCGTAACCCCAGAAATAACGAGCCATAATCTGGTCAATCTCGTCAAGAGTAGACCTAGGGGCGTCGAGGACCATAAGTAAGTGAAGCGGAAGAGAGCTAAGGGTGCTTTTGATCAGCGCAAGCCGACCACCAAAGGAAAGATGTCTATGCGACCAACCAGAGATCCTATTGATCATCCTCTGTCTAATATCCACAAAAAGCGCTCTCGAGAGGTGACCCTTATATAAAGGGACACCGAGGTAGGTAATGGGAAGGTCGCCGCGTGCAAAGCCAATTATCTCATGGATCCGCTGAGCCCAACTGTCCGTGCTAGGGGAGGAGAGGGTGAAGGTGCTCTTTTGCACACTGATCAGCTGGCCGGTAACCGAGCTATAGTGCTCCAGAAGATGCATAAGCTCGATCAGCCCATCAACATCCGCCCAGGTGAAGATGATGATGTCATCCACATAAGAAAGGTGCGAGATGGGAGGACCATAGCCACGAGTGCTGCATGTCATCCGTGGATAGTCGCGGATGAAGTCGTCAAGGCAGCGAGAGAGGTAGTCTGCCGCAAGGACAAAAAAGGATGGGGAAATGGGGTCACCATGTCTAGACCCCTAGAGGAGGGAAAGAAGTCGGTGGGGCTACCATTAACCAGGACCTAGAACGTGCAGTGTTCCACACACACCTCAACAAAACTGATCCACCGCTCAGGAAATCCTATCCTAGCCAGTGCCTCCCTAGGAAACAGCCACTCCACCCTATCGTACGCCTTAGCCATGTCTAGCTTGAGCGCAACGTTCGGTGCCCGCTTCCAATCCGCATGGGAGATATCGTGGATCATCTCCTGGGCCAAAAGTATGTTATCATTAATGACCCGATCCTTGACGAAACCACTCTGGTTCGGAGAGATGAGGGAGGGGAGAAGAGGGGAAAGGCGGCCGTTAAGAATCTTCGAAATAAGTTTATTGGTCACGTTACACAGGCTGATGGGCCTGTAGTAGGACCAAGAACTCGAATTGGGTCTTTTGGGAATCAAGAAGACAGAGGTGGACGTGAAGTAATCCGGCATCCGGTGACCGGGAAGAAATCCAACATTGCCTCCTCAACATCAGGCTCGACAATATCCCAACAGACCTGGTAGAAGAGAGAAGAGAACCCATCGGGGCCAAAAACGCTATTGGGATCAATCCAGAAGACAGCATCTCTAACCTCCTCCCTACTCGGGAGCTCACAGAGGCCGACGAGGTCGACCGAAGGAGGAATGGTGGGAAAGAAAGAAGCGATTGGGGCATCGATAGCCCCTCTGTCGGAGGTGAAAAGGGTCTGGAGGTGGGCAGTAACCGAATTCCAAATCTGAGACTCTTGGGTCAAGATGACCCATCAGCCTCAATACTGTGGATGTACGACTTAGCACGCTTCTGCCTAACGAAACCTCCTCCATAATGAGTCGGAGCTGGTACTCGGCATGGCAACAGCGCATCGCAGTCCTATTCTCCAGAGTGGGGTCCAGATAATAAGCTCGCTCAGCCTTCGCATGCGCACTCTGAGCCGCAGAAAGGCGCTGATGGAGGTTTCCAAAAACATCCCAGTTCTACTGTCTCAACCTACGCCGCAGTCTGCCGAGCTTCGCCTCGAGATTGTGCATCCCG